GGAGCATATTTAAATTTAACCTTATTAATTCTATAAATTTGATTTTAAGAGGTATTATTTTTCACTTACAGTTAAATACTGGTTAATAAAAATATGATTACAATAAATGAAAAAAACATTTTAATTTTAAGCTTCAACATGATAATCACCTAAAATGTTAAAACTGCTGATTTTAAAATTTACTTATTTATATTCATGAATAGGCCATATACATATTTTCCCAATTTTTTTTTTCATACAGCAGCGTAACAATGGATGCCCCCCCACTTGATATACAATTATCCAATAAACCATTCAGGTGTCACCTTCCCTGGCCAGCCTGGTCATATGGTCTAGTGCACTAGAAGTGCACTTCTAGTGCACTTCTAGTTCAGCTCTAGTGCACTAGAAGTGCACAAGGGTGGGAAGTTTAGTGTGAACTCAACTGTAGTATTTCAGCCAAGTAGTTCCTTCTTTCTGTTCACACATGAAAATTGTTAACTGATTGACAGACTGACAACAAGGTGCATAACATACATGTATTATACTTCAATTTTTTTCCATATCATTTTTTTTATCATAATAACACAATAACTTGAACTGGTGACTGGAGTACATCAAGATACTACTAGTAAGTGTAGCACTAACTTGTCATGCCAGATGACCGATGTCCAGTAATCACATTATTGTAGACTGATAATTGAGGAAGCTAAAAGAATCTAAACTCTGGTGGAATTGATATGATAACTGATAATTTAATTCCCAATGTCACATTGGCAACATCTTAGTGAGTGCTTATTATAAAGAGTATGGTATTGAAATACCAGGTAGGTCAAATAGCCCAAGTTAATTGATGTCAAGTCATGGTCTCACATTTTTTCATTTCATAAATATTTTAGGACTCCCAGTCTTATTTTTAACTTAAGAGTATTTATATTTCTTATTAATAATAATAATAAAAATATTATTCTGTTATACATTATGAATTGCTGTTTGACGTGATTTTATACATACCATTAAGGACTCGGCCCGGTGAATTTTCGTACTATTAGTTCTATAGTAAATCAGTCAAATTTGAGGTTTAATTCTGGATTCCAATGTTCTTGATGAATTATATACTGTCTTCAACTTTAAACATTAACACTATCTAAGTCAAATGATGCCCAAAATATAATAGGTTAGCCATCTACATTTTTCAGAAATCTTCATTCTGTTGTAACACTGTTTAAATTCACCACTTTAAAAACTCCTGACAGCTGGTGGGTAGTACATCTTTAATCCTTCCACCAACAAATGAGTTCCTGGGGAATACACAAAAAAACAACTTTTAAAGTCATCATATAACACACAAAAACTACACACATGCAATAAATACACTTTAATTATGAACAATCTAACTAGAGATGACTTAAATTGGGCCATTTCATAATTTTAAAGAACTACTTTCTAGACTACAATGGGCTGGGTCTAATTCCGTACCGGGTTGAGACCTTAAGCAAATGAAGACAACAATAATATCAACGACCCGAAACCGGAAAATATTAATTAGAAATTTGCTTAAAAGTGACAATGTACAGATCATATGTAAATTTATTGGTAAATGTTAACACGGATGCGTTTTTATTTCATTGAGTGACATGCAATAAGAAAGATGTGAAATGTCTACCTGTTTCACACATAAAACAATAACACTAAAACATCCACGTTTATAATGTTCACAGATGGACACCCACTTCTTGACCTGATGATAAGATCCTATAAATAATCATCTCATGCCCATCTCTACTTTCGTTTTCGATTTTTTTTGGGATAAGTTATTAAAATTCTGCTATTCACTCCTCTTCGAGTCCTAAGGAAATTTTAAAATTGTAACCTAAAACTTATTTCATATCATATAAACTGAAAATGCATTTCAATATAGATCTAAATAACTACAGATAAGTGTTAAATAAAATCACAAAAATAAAAAATGCTCCCTGATCGCAACTTTTAACTTCCGGTTCCGCCACGCGAAAAGAAAATGGGAAAAGTTAAAAAAGCAAAAATGACCCGACCTGGTGGGCTTTCTCTTGCAGATCAGGTATTGGATGACAACAATGTAAAACAATCTAGCAGAACAAAGATCAGAAGAAAGGAAGAAAAAGATGACGAGGTATCATCATCAAATATATCTGAATTTTATGTGTTTTCGCGATGTATGTGACTATTAGTAGGTATAAGAAAGTCGTGTTTTCACACACTAGAATAAGGCAATTATATCCTCATAATCAGTTTTTGACACAATTTACAATACGTAACACTATATGTTTTTTTATTTAATAAATTGGCATTGCCCAAATTATTTTTCTCTTAGTAATAAACAAAGTTTTTCACTTGATGATAATACACCGAGTGGCAGTTTCCGAATTAGCAGACAACAGGCCATTCTTAATATGAAATAAGGTGCTACCTATGTCGTGGAAAGCTCTTATGAATTATGGTTTTAGCATAACATGTTAAGTGTACTTGTAAACCATATCTTTCTCCGTAAACAAAACGAATAAATTGGTAGTGTTCAACCTATCATCCCAGCGCTCGTTATAATCCGAAAATCCTGGAAGGTAAAGGAGGACAACAGCGCATGCGTCTGCATTTGGAAAATCCTGTCCACCATTTTTGTTAAACACTGATCACAAACGTTATTTTTTAATGCGCTTTTTTATCTAAAAGGATATTTTATAATTATAATCGTTACAATATAATTATAGTTCTTATCAATGAAAATACATGTTTATTTTCTGATTTTGAACATCATTCTTTTACCGGGAGTGTGTTTTAGCAAGCGTCTGAAGCAATGAAGAGCGCTGCAGCGTCGCAGGGCCTTAGGCCCCGCTCGGACTCTCCGTGTATCAGTATTTAATAGGCAAAGATAAGGCCTTAAAAACTTTTGTTCTGGTCACCCAACAATACCTGGAAAAATACATCCGACCCTACCGTTTTTTTAAAGCTTAAAAATATATCCATTTACGTCGTATCAAAGGTACACATTATAATTTTGAATAAAGTGTTGAATTCCTATAGCTGCCCTAATTGTCTGAAAGGACAGTTTTGGCAACTGATACATATATTGAGTTATGGACATGGTAATGTGTGACAAATCTTAATCTGTTTTTTTTTAGTTTAATCTGTTCTTGTGTTAATGCCAATAAAAAATCAAAAACTATTACATATTAGAGCTGAAATATATACCAATTATTTCTATTCATTTTTTCTACATGCATTTAACAGGAGGGGGCTATGTTATACACCTGTCTCCGCCGCCTTCTAAATCAAGCGCGTACGAACTGTGTTCTATGGTAGCAGCGACATCTGGCGTTAAAACTACTTCCGGTGATGAAATCAACTTCGGGCTATTTGGTAGCATCAAAGTACGGCGGGATAAACTGAAAGACGTAGCTGCCGGGTCGCCAATAATCGTGAATAACGAATGTGACGACGAAATGAAGTAATTGAATGTTCAACCCTTAATAACTTTTTTTTTTGTTTGCTGTATTAAAATAAGATTTATTTCAGATTTCTTTCAAACTTCTGTACACTTATATTGATATGTTACCGTCTTGAAATAAAGATTTTATAATAAGTATAACTCGTCATACATAATTTAATCGTTAGAAATTAGTTTTCACTGAGGAAATCCTCAATTCTCTTTATCTTTTATAGTTCGTTTGACTTCAGATATAAAAATGATTTATAAGAACTACTGATTTTACTTTCATATATAGACCATATCCAAGAGAAACAATAGTCAAACGTGCAGAATCCAAACTAGGATCGAATGACTACAACGTGTTAAAATGGAATTGTGAACACTTTGCCACGTGGTGCCGATACGGAAAAGCCGTCTCAAAGCAGGTAAACAATTTATAAAATTATGTATTTTACAGCGATTTTAAGGTGACACTTGCAGTAGTATCTTGTGGCCAAAACTTATTATTTTGAGGTCACAAAAATTTATTTTGTTACCACAATTTATTATTATATTGATGCCTCAAAGTATTATCTTCTGGCCATAACTTGTGATCATGAGCCCTCAAGATATTATCTTGTGTCCGCAACTTATTATCTTGAGGACACGAGATATTATCTTGTTGTCACAATTTATCATTATATTTATGCCTCAAAGTATTATCTTACGGCCATAACTTATTATCTTGAGGCTACGAGATAGAATCTTGTTGCCACAACTTATCATTATATTGATGCCTCAAAATATTATCTTGTGGCCATAACTTATTATCTTGAGCTCTCAAAATATTATCTTGTGTCCACAACTTATTGTTTTGAGGCCTCAAAATATGATTTTGTGTCCACAACTTATTATCTTGAGGCATCAAGATTATATCTTGTGGCCACAACTTTTAATCTTGTGGTCACAACTTATTTTTATCAGTATTACCACGAGATATTATCTTGAGGTCATAAAATAGTAAGTTGTGGCCGCGAGATAATATGTTGTGACCACGAGATAATATCTTGAGAACACTAATAATAAACTGTGGCTACAAGATAATAAGTTGTGGCCACGATATAATATCTTAATGCCTCAAGATAGTAAGTTGTGGCCACGAGATAAAATACTACTACAAACAAATGTCACCTCTATGCCGCCGTATGTCTCTCTTACAAAATGTCTTAAGATAAAGCGATCATTAATCGTTGGTTAAAATAAGTCGTGGCCTCAAGATAATAAGTTGTCGCCACAAGATTACAAGTCACGGCCTCAAAATAATAAGTTGTGGCTACGAGATAATAAATCGAGGCCAAAAGATAATAACTTGTGGCCAAAAGAAAATAAGTTCTGGCCACAACATAATATCTTGAGGTCACAATCAAGTAAGTTGTGGTCACAAGATAAAAAAAACGTACTAGTAAAGCTTTAGATGTGGCCTCTATGCCAACTTAGGTAGTGGCACTGGTAGTCGTAGTCTTAGATATTTAATAACCTGAATTTTGTTCTCTTTAGGTACCATTCAGCAAAGGATTATCAAGAGATGCCTACGTAGTACAATTACACGGTGTTGAAGTTGTGCCACATGGGACACTCCCGGATGACGTCATTACGATTGGACACCACCCTCATTTCGGAATATTTCCTGTGCCAATATTTGGTGCAATATTATTACCTTTTGAGGCAGCTCTCGATACTTTGCACGAGCTGTTTAGAAAATAACGAAATGAACATTTGATAAAGTACATACGTGTCATGTTCTTTCTGTATTATCGAACTGCATGGTTAATTGGCCGGTAGATAAAGTCTGTGTGCCATACAAAGGGGACAAGCCGTACAATTGACAACTGTTTCATTATTGATATTCTGATGTGTATTTACATATGAGTACTTCAAGGCACCGGGAAAATATCATGACTATTAAAGGAACCCCACCGGAGTCTAAAAGGCAAAAAAACCATAATATTTGAATTTCTTATTTAGATCAGCTGAAGTTGATGAACAAAACAAAATGCAAAGATATTGAGAAAAAATATTCACGGTTAAGGAAAACGGTGAATTATCTGGAATTTTGTACACAAAACTTTCATCAAGTGGAACAATAATCTCGTAAAATCATTCCCGGTCCTATAACATGTATAAAATACTTACAAAAGTTAAGTTAAAAATTGTATGTTTGTGCTATTCTTAATGTATGTTAGTGTTTATTTAGTGAAATTTGAGTCCCAAAAGAACTGACCGATAGGGAACGACCGTGGATTTTTAATTGTTAAAATTTCACTTAATAAAAACTAACTGATTTAGTGTTTTAAACTAGTTTGGCCCCTATTGAACGCCTCCAGCCTTTAGAAAGTTGTTTCAAATACAATAGGTGGAGTGAAATATATCCTAAACAATGTGACAAGAGTCTGAGCGAACTTAATTCTTAATATGCCTAATTGTGTGCATAAATTGACTTATGTTAAGCCTATTTGTGACATAATTATGCTAGCTGTTTTTTGGTGTGTTTTTTGGTGTCTGTATTTTCTCTAGACTGTACTGGACGAAAATGATAAAGGGTCAGAAACTGCTAGGAAACCAGTTGCCATTGTGAAAGTGTGGCTGTCTTATTCGATATCTTGAAGTGCTAAAAACGGCTCCAGGCATAGCTTGCACTAATCTCGTCAAAACACAGCTTAAACACTGCTTTCATATAGCATGTTTATCTTTGTAGAGACCACAAGAAAATATTACATTAAAAAATATCCAACGCTTTGGCATTGTAGTTTCTAAGATGAGTAGAGAATCATAATAGAACAACAGATTTGCATCAAAATAGATACATGTAGCAAAGAAAAAACAGAATAAAATCAAAATAATTATTAAGTTTTATTACTTTTGATATGCATTATAAGGCTGTGAGCAGAAGCAAATTTCCTGACAAAAATTTAGTATGAAAATGGCAAAAGGACACCTCAGTAACACATGAAGAAAAATGTTATATGATGTGATTGATGTACATATAAAAAATGTACATGTAATGGTAACGTAATGTACCAGTTATAATAAAATTATGTTCCTTTTAAAAGAAACATGTGCAATATCATTTTATATAATTAGTTAAAATAATATTATGTTCTGTTCTATATTGTTACACAACCCGTATCTTTCCCTTTTGAACAAAGGACCGAAAGTGTGTTTTATCAAGCAATAAAATCATTGTTGACGTTCTAGACTTGTGACATAATCATTGAAAATGTGACGCCCTGAAAATCAGTCTTGGACAATTTAGCTTAAAGGCCCATTTTACCCCAGAAATGCTCTCAAAATCATATTATTTTCTATGTATTCTTTTATAGTTTCCAACAAGTTACTCAATGACCAACTATCTGAACTGTCTTCTTCTACTATCGCTTTTTGGCAATCTATAGTGATTCAAAATTTTGTATGAAAGTCAAAATACTGTTTCGCTTAAATTTTGCTGCGTTTACATGATTTATAACACATTCCTTTACATTTGTCAATATTCTAAACTAATGTTTGACCTTTCTGAAAAATAAAATATTTATTCATTTCTGAGGCACAATGTGCCTTTAATATCAGGTATGGCAGCATTTATTTGTTGTTGTGTTAGAATTGATATAATATATCCCAAGCAGTGATTTTATCGCTGAATAAAATCACTGTTTTTTCATTCGAATGCGCAGCTAAGCCCTCGTTATATATAATTCCTCACACAGTGATTTTATTCAGCGATAAAATAAATCAACATCACTTTTAATGTAAATATTTTGTGACATTATATATCATCACTCCAAGGATAGTTTCAAACAGATAAGCTGTTACTTTTTTATCAAGTTTTCTCTCTCCTCAATACCTGAGATCCTTAGAAACGGAAGTGATTTCAATTATATATGTAACATTCTATATACATCACAAATTTGCCTTTTGATTTTAATTTTCAGCACATCAATTTCTTTAAATCTGTTACCCTCTAGTAAATCAATAATCTCCATTTTTATAATTTAAATTAAACTTTGTATCTAGTCATATCAATCAATCAATCAATCAACATTTAATCAATCAATCATAACTTCAAATGACTTTTAGATAATAGATATTGTATCTAGTCATATCAATCAATCAATCAAACAACATCGTTAATTGTTTATTGTGAATGCTCATCTGATAAGGACAAATCTGGTAAGGAGTCTGCTGTGGCATTCCATATACACACACGTCCATCTTTACTCCCGCCACCTGAGATCATATACCTGCAACAATAACATAAAACAAAATATAACTATGAACATTACTGGATATATATCTGACAATATCGGAATATATTTCTGACAATATCGGAATATATTTCTGACAATATCAGAATATATCTCTGACAATATCGGAATATATTTCTGACAATATCGGAATATATTTCGGACAATATCGGAATATATATCTGACAATATCGGAATATATGTCTGACAATATCGGAATATATTTCGGACAAAATCGGAATATATCTCTGACAATATCGGAATATATTTCAGACAATATCTGAATATATTTTGGACAATATGGGAATACACCAGAAATATCTCCGCAAAACAATTGGATTCACCCATATTCTACTGCTTTGTCAGTTTACTGAAAGACAGCTTGACAGCCAGGACGGACAGACAGATAAAGGCTAATCTATATGGGCATAACAACATTCCGGCTTTACTGGGGAAGACCTCAGGTGCCTTTTAGTGCATTATTTCAGACAGAAACAGACACCTGAGCAGAATCACCAACATTCTGTAAGCTAGCTGGATAGATAGATATAATAATTATAGAAATAATTACAAAATACTTAATATATATTGAGTATATAATTATACAGAAATAATAACAAAATATTTATAATGTCCAAACAAACAAAAATACTAATACACACAGATAAACAGTTTCCAAACTAGCAGACAACAGGCTATTCTTATCAGAAGTTTATGTCTACAATTATCAAATTATACTGAATCAATAACAAAATGACTTATATTAAAATTAATGGTCATATAATTACATGTATATAGAAATTAATAACAAAAAACTTGGTATCAAATTATCATTTAGTAAATGTTTAGAAAACAACTCAATACAGAATGTAAAATGGCATCGCAAGCAATGTTAAAATTAATGTCTTCACAAGCAATGTAAAATATTAAAACTCTGAAATTGTTATATAAATTAAACACTTCATATTAAATGCTGTTAAAGCGACCTTCAGCTTTTTAAAGGTAAGATATGTTATTTTTAGATGTTTTTTTTTTAGATTTATTGTTTCAGATAATATTGTCAAATCAAAAGAATTCAGATGGAAAATCAAAATTCGCGGACGATAAAATACATAAACAATAAGAAAACCCATTGATACTAAATCTAATCTACCGGTCCGTTCTCTATATTAGTAAAGTGGACGATTATAAGTTTCCGGATCTTCTACTTTTAGAGATGAATGTCACTGACACCTTATAAATAGCTTTTAGGACCCTGTTTTGAAGAAGGCTTAACAGTGATATGATACAACACAAAATTGTGTTTCCAACAGAAAATAAAAGCTGAAGGCCGTTTTAAAGCTTTAAAAGCCTCAAATGTTTTATTCACTTAAGCATTTTTAGATAAGCTGGACCATTCAAACAACTTCTTACAACTGATCACTATGGTCACAGAATCTACCTGCACACATAGATCAGTTGGCAAGTCTGATAATTTTCTACGGTGGACTGGTCGCTTTTCAGTCTGTTGTAAGTCATATTTTTAAATGTTTCCTAAAAAAATAAGCTTTGTCCATTTTTTTAATAAAGACTAGTCCCTTAAAGATATTTAGCATGGCAAAGTTTAATTTTGTTTTTGTTCAATTATAATTGGTTTTTTATATTACAGATACAATAAGTATCTTGTACAACTGCAATTAAAGTAATCAAAGCTACTGATCTATATACAGATCAAGGAAATAGAGTATATTGAATGAGTGTAAGTTCAATAGATCAAATGAATTTATTGAACAAGTTGAAGGAAATTATATTATGCTAGCCTCTGGCGAGCATATTCAACGATTCCAATTAATTCAGTAATGAACCTACATGGAAATAATATTCTATTTCTCACATACCCAAAATAAAGACTGTTTAAAGTGCAGAAGCATCATTTTTCATTGGCACGTCTATAGAATAATGCTTACATTTAGCATGTCTTTATGTAAATGGTGTTGATACCATTTTTACGGAGATGCAAAATCGACAGGGGTATGTGATAAAAGAATTAAATACTGTCCAAAAACATACTTCATTAATGATATACTGTAACACTAGCTGCTAAGGATATAAAGGGAAAGGATAGGGATTCAAATACTAGCAGGTTCATAATACAAGCCTGTAAGATTGCTGGAAACAATTTCAATCATAATTACTATATAATTAATGATAATGTGATTTTGTGGTTGCTGATTCCTTCCATGATTCTAACCAGTGTTGCTGATTTTGTTTTGATGAGTTTGCAAATCGTAGAATTCTATTTTTAACGTATTTTAATATCAAAATACAAAAAAACACTAATTTCTCATTAGTAAAGGACCTCAGGTCTGATATTATACTGGCAGCAAAGGTTATGACATGTTGCAATTAGATCAGAATATCTGTGGCGAGGGGAACCATTGGTGGGTTCCCGAGGGACATATACTCTGATCAACACTGCAAACATAATTATGTCAGAAATTTTTTCTTGCAAATTCTACCATATTCCATTATATTTCAAACTCTTTACCTTAATAAAATTAGATTATTTACAATCACTCATTTTTTATCGCTATGTACTAAATTCGGATTATGAACGGTTACAAATTATTGAATACCAAATATTGTGATAAATAACATTATGGAAATGATTATTATGATATCGGCCAGATTGTTAGATTTTTTTTGGCGGGAAAGCATTACAGTAAGACTAAGCTAAAATGCAATGGAGAAATTTAGCATTGCCAGAGGATCACACCCATCAACCCCTGTATAAAAAATACAATGCACTCTCTATTGTGTTAATTGGCAGGCCAAGCATGACTGTGGACACTGCGACAGGTGGTTAACGGCAGCAATTACAGGAAAGGCAACGGAATAATTTGGAACATGTGTGCTTTTTGATGTATAAGTGTTGTATAAAAACTTGCGAAGATTATACTAAACATAATGATGTTATACGGTATAAAAGTATTTTCACTTCAACAGGTAATTATAGAAATATTCTTAGTTACCTTACAGTATTATTTACATTTCCTTGCCTGTTAAATATAAAGACAGATAAAGAATTTTCTAAAAAAAAAAAATCTGTTTTTGTCTTAAAATCTAAATTATTAGATTCATATTTTAGAATCATGCAATTCCAATAGATGCTCCATGAAGCTGCTCTGACAAAATTAAAGGGACTCCACTCCATGTTTTTTTGACATGGCAGGACTGAAAACATTTTTTAGAGAAATATGTTCCATTTGATGTAGGTCTAGACCAGTAACTTGTGTGCAAAATTTCAGATCTAGCGCTCACTCAGTTTTTCCAGAAAATACATTCTGATTGTGAAAAATGATCAAAAATTGAAAAGCATTGCAATGCTTTTCACTCAATCAGCCAACAAAAGTACAAAAATCTGATTTCTTTCCAAGTATATTTCTTTATTTTCTCTCTTTTAAGTGTTAAGGAGCTGATCTACAAATGTAAGAAATTAAAATTTTATGCTATTAGTCTTTTGGACCTCTGTGGAGTTCCTTTAAGATATGGCTTTACAATGAATATCTATTTTATGGCTTTACAATGAATATCTATTTTATGGCTTTACAATGAATATCTATTTAATGGCCTAAGTGAAATTGTCTCAACTGACATAAAACCCAAGAATATAAGTCCAATACATGGATGGTACCAATATAACAAATATTTATATTAAGATAATACTTCACACCTTATAAAATATTACCATTGAACTCTAAGTATTTCAACAATGTGATGTTCAAACAGAAATAATTATCTAATCCATTCTTGTCTGCAATCAATTCTAAGCCTTGTTTTAATTTTCATAGTCCGAAATATTTATTTTAAATGCACATCATACTGTATCTAGCCACATTTCCATTTTCAGGATCAAAACTTTTGTATTAATTCCTATATTGTACTTAAAGTAGCAAAGTTCTGTCAAAAAGTGTGAAATAAAAAGGTCATTATACTTTGTGGAGAACAGTATTCAGATTCTACTGGACCCACACACTGGTGCAAAACCTTTATCAGACTAGGCTAGTGCCCGTCCAATATAGTTTTGACAGCTGTGTACTTTAGCCAATAAAATTCAATATTGTACTTAACAATGTGTAAATACATGTACCTTACATTATTGATTAGTCATTATTTGAGAACCACCAATATGGTGGCTTGCATACAATAATTCATCACCTTAGTACAGTAAGCTGGTTAAGTTCTTCTAAATTGAATAGGAGTTAATCACGTTATTGCACTAAAGTGACAATTATTGCTCATTGGGGTCAAATATTCCTAAATGGAATAGTGAAATGAAACAGTAATCACTAATGGAATTGACAGAGAACAGACAAGCTAAATATATGCTCCACTTAAAAATTTCAGAAAGCCGAAAACACAGGTCTGCAATAATAAAAGACGTGCTTTTATTTCATGCTTTCCAGTGTTTTATTGTAATATAGCAGATGATTATATTCTGATAAACCACTAGTGAAATTTATAAAATATAATTTTCACTGTAGCCGGACTATATCTGAATGCAGATGAAAAGAAAATCATAACTAAATGGAATAACAGGCAAAAATAAATGCCGTCGTACGTAAATTTTGCTTCTTTAGGAAAAGTAAGTCGAACTCACCATAAATCATGTTAAAAATGTAACAAAATTAGAGAAATTTAACAGAACTAGATTTCAAAACTGATGATGTGACGTCATGATATGATGACGTCACAAAGGAGAATGCGCCACGTTACGCGGCAAAATCAGTAAAAAATACTTAAATCACTTAAAAAACATGAAATAAATACAAAATTTATTTGTTTTACATATAAGATTGAAATATATTTCATTCGTGAGCACCAGCTATTATATTTTCACTCGTGGCTACGCCACTCGTGAAAATATTGCATCTGGTGTTCACTCAGTGAAATTATATTTCAATCTTACATGCAAAACAAACAAATATCCTCTATATAAACATGATCCATTTTCCTTTATTCTTGAAAAAATGTTCAAATACTGGTACATGGTGTATTTGTTTCCAAGGCTGGTTATTATTACAACATGTTAAGAGATAAACCATGCAAGTTGTTATTTTCTGTATACAATACATCTTAGTGGAGTAACATGTTAACTCCTTATATAATTTAAAGGGAGTTAACCCTTTACTGCACTAACAATACAATATATTATTAATATATGTATATATATCATTACCTATCTCTAATATCACATAAGACTCTCACAGCATCATCATGACCTACTAACTGTTTCCAAAGCCGTCTGTTGTTGACAGAATATATATAGATCATACCCTCCTTGGTTCCGGTCCAGATCTACAAAAGTCATATAATATACATGTACAGTAACCAATCATTTTACAGAAAATGTGCCTAAAAGGGGCATAACTCAATTAACAATAATGAGTTGATTGCAGAGAAAATTGAACCTAATCTGTGTTTTGATATACCATTCTAACATGCCAAATATAAACACAATCACTAATATCATTCAAAATTACATTGCTGCAACAAAACTGTCTACAGACACACACACACATATGGATGGAAGCTTGCAATTACAACTGTCCATGAACATGCTCAATCAAACCAAGCCTTTTTCAGTTTTGCAGTGTTGGATTTTCTTAATGGTATCAGTTTTTCTCTATTTTAACTAAGTTTTACGCTGACGCAAGAGGGAGTAGGATAGCTCCAGTATTTTTCGAGCTAAATCATGTTAGTTTTTATGTCAACTTCAAGACATTTTTGGTCTAATTTTGGCAATTTGTGCCACTTTAATTACTTTTCTGGGTACCTAACCAGTAATTACCAATTTCGGGATAGGTGACTGACTACTTATGCCATATGATTTTTGAATGGCATGACGACTAGAATCAATGTGTAAGATCAGCTGTCAATGATAAATTTACCTCTTGCCAGAGATTCAAAGCAGCAACCACTGGGTTACAAATCCTATGCCCTCCCTTTACAGCTAGGTGGTTAGATAAAATAAAAAACATACAAAAAAAACAAAACAAAAAAACAATTGGTAATTAATTTTTAAAGCAGCATGCCTCCAGATTAATGTTTGTTTTCATGAAAATTTTGAAATTGTATAATTACCAAAAGGAAGCAATTTACAAATTATCAATGGCACTTGCATCCCACATTAATTACAAAAAGAGGTCAAAATATGCAAAATTTCCCCTTACTGCATTAGTAACGCAGTAGAAATATAGTTACACATAATGGAAAATTAACCATCAACCACTCATAACATGTAAATTATTACTCGAATCTTGAATTTTTTTACTTTTCCTAAACTCTTAGTACATTTATCTTAAGTTTAAATTTATTGAAATATTTTCGCTCATCTGGAGGCATGCTGCTTTAAACAACGAATAAGAAATAAACGTACCCTGCCATCCACTTCCTTCATGCTGTTTATACCACGGCAATTACTACTGATAGATATTGAATGTTTAACCTCGCCTGTAGAATAATCCACTATGTAGATCTTCCCACCTCTCCTTGCACCAACCCATACCTTCAAGTATACAATCATCATATGTAGGTTTACAATAACAAATACTGATATGCAAACATCAACATCATACATGTGAACTCTCCCACTTTCTGCAGCCATATTTTCAAAGATTTTTCTTAAAATAATGGATATTTTCACAAATTAAAGAAATCTCCTTCTTTTTGATATCAGAACTGTCTTCTTTGTTTATTGCAAATTCTAAAATCACCCTCTTTTTGAAGAAAAATCTCCATGATTTTTATGGGTTTTTTTTGGTTGTCAAACTAACACAGTATAGGTCATATGGCCACTTTCCAGCATTACTGGTCGAGGAAGACCTCAGGTGCTCTTCCATGCTTTTTTCAAGCATGAATGGGCATCTGAGTAAGAATCACTCTCGTTCCTTAAGCTAGCTGGATAGCTTCCTCACATGAAAAAATCCAAAGTCCCTTGTAGGGATTCGAACCCACAGCAGTGAGGGTCAAATAGTTTAAAGTCAACGGCCTAAACCACTTGGCCAGGGACGCCTCACAGCAACATGTGCTTTTGTCTTTGTTTATTACATGTTTTAAAGGTATAAAGCTATCTTTAATGAAATATTTTTATAAAACGTGAAATCATAATAATATTATCACTTCCAAAAACATATGGATGTTTCTTAAAACAGTTGTTACATAGAATGCCTCTGTGATTTAACACACATGAATATTGTACGTAAACAAAAAAAAAATTTCAGGAACAAATATTATGCAGCTATTTTATGTAGGGTTTCAACCATTCAGCAATAATTTTGTGCATGAGCCATTTACCTTTAAGGAATATTAATATAACTTTATAAAAACTGCACATTTGTAACATAGCTTTTCACTGGATAAATAATCATGATGTTTATATAATCTGTATAATTTATGTGTCTACATTATTTTATGAAGTAATTTTTGTTTTTCCTTCAGTAAAGTAATTCTGCTATATCTTAAATCTATTATAAGATGTCTTTTTGTTTGTTTGTTTCATTTAACGCCTTTTCCAACAGTATTTCAGTCATATAGGCGGGTAGTTTCCTAACCATTGTTCCTGGAGAGTTACACCAGTACTAGACTACCTTCCTCCACGCTAAACTACCAAAGCATCTCCCGGGGATCGAACCCACGCCAGAGAGGTAACTGGATTAGAAGTCGTTGACTCTAACCCCTCGACCACAGGGGTGGTTATATGTAAGATGTCTAACAGGTAATATAATGACTCAGGTTATATATGCAAACAAACGTTTATATAGGGCTAACAATCTTGTCAAAAATCTTTATAACTAATATGATAGTTATACTCTGTAACACCAGTAAACTTTACCCGCTGTAAATCTTTATAACCGAAAAAAAGGAAAATTACAATGAAAAAGTTACCTCTCCATTCCTTGCAACGGTGAAGCTATCAATTTCTATTACAGTGTCTTTTTCCTTGATCTCAACAGTTTTAAGTACAGTACCTTCTAGATCACATATAATTATAATATTCCAACTTCCTAAAATAAAACAATAGTTTTTCTAAATAATAAATGTTAAAAAATATCTGCAAATGTATCTAAATTCAAAATTTCACAACTACCATGTTTAAAGCTTGAATTCTGCTTGAGCCAATGTTAGTGGGCATGAATGATAGCTTGCACTTTGCAGCATTGTTCATGAACAGGCTTAATTAAAACTAGCCTGCAACACTTTCAATTCTGCCGTTTTGGACTTTCTATAGGGATTTTTTTAAACTATTTTTCTCACTTCAATAGTATTTTCAGTATTAGTTTGGTTTTAAGTGACACCCACACTGAAAAGGTTAAGGCATGTACAATGTATTGTAATTTTCAATCACGTTTTTTTAATCTTCTCAAAAAAACTTTTTCACAGTAACTTTTTTTTGTTGCGTGTTATGTCATACTAACACGGTATAGGTCAGACATAGCCACTTTCCAGATTTACTGAAGGATGAGGACCTAAGGTGCCCTTCCGCGCATTATTTCAATCACGAAAGGGCACCTGAGTAGAACCACCAAAGTACCAAAAGCTAGCTGGATAATTGCTCACATGAAAGAATTCGAAGTCCCTGTCGTGCTTTGAACCCACAGCAGTGTTTGGCAAGTGGTTTGAAGTCAACGACCTTAACCACTCGGCCACAAATGCCTCTTACCAGATGTGTAGTAGATTCTATGTGAGGCAATGTAAACAAGAAAGTTTCAAGGCAAATTTTTCTTACCACAAATAAGTCTATCCTGGTAAATCTTCATCGATCGCAGTGAATTGTTAACAAAATTTTTCAGTTTTATTTTCTCTTTTGCACGACTCAATTTTTGTGTGTTCCATTTGACTATAGTTCCATCAAGACTAGCTGTATATACGAATCTGGAAATGAATATTTTTGTGTAAACAAATTTAAATAATTGTAAATTCAAAATTTTTATCTCTTCAAATTTTTAATTTTTTAGATCTATGTTTTTTTTTTATATATATTAAACACATATACATCTGGTCATAAATCTTTCAGCTGTTTAACAACCCAACGGGCTTTCCTGGATAACTAACCAGTAATTACAAATTTCTCTGCAAAAGACCAACTTCTAACTTCTAAATAAATTGTGAATCAGTGCTCAGAGATAAATAGCAATTGTACTCAATGTCTAAGACCAACTTTTACTTAGAAATTTTGCCTTTACCATTATTCCTTATAAACAGACTCAATTAAAATGAGTCTGCAATTTTCATGTAATTTTGCTGATTTTGATGCTTCTGAGGGATCACTTTTTCCAGATATTTGGATGCTATGCAAAGAAGCAACTCCTGGACCCCTGGGTTACAAATCAAATTATGACCTAATTACCATAAAATTTATGACTTAATCATCATCATAATCACCGTACTAATCATTCATATTCTTATAATGAAGCACAAACAAGAATTAAATTGTATTTCTCTTGAAGATTCATTCTTCTTTTCAAATTTCATTATTCTGTAAAAAAAAAATTCTGACAAACCAAAAAAACACTGCACTCACCTTTTATCATCATATACTATAATATCAGTAACCAAGTCGGAGTTTTCCCGCAAAGTTTTTGTCAGTGTAAGTGAATGAGCATCTAGGATGAAAATTCCATGAGATCCAGCCCATACATGATTGTCGTCTACAGCTGTGAGACACGCCTATTTAAAACAACAATAAACAAGAGGGCCATGATGGCCCTGAAGTCGCTCGCCTGTATATAGGCCCCCGGAGCGGGGCCAGTTTAAACCCCAGGGCTTTTATTTGAACAAACTTGGTAGACACCCATTAGAAGATGTTTCATGCTAAACATCTAAGGTCTAGCTGGTCAAGTTTTTTCTTTATTCATATAGTTAAAAACAATGACACACCAGGGGCAGGGCCAGTTTTGACCCAAGGGCTTTTATTTGAACAATCTTTGTAGACACTTACTAGAAAATGTTTCATGCTTAATATCTAAACTCTAGCTATTCGGGTTTTTTCAAAGAAGATTTTTAAGTTTTTGCTATACACATATAAGGAAAATCAATGTCACCGGGGCAGGGCCAATTTTGACCCCAGGGCTTTTATTTGAACAAACTTTGTAGACACTCACTAGAAGATGCTTCATGCTAAATATCTAAACGCTAGCTATTTGAGTTTTTTCAAAGAAGATTTTTTAAGATTTTGTTATACACATATAAGGAAAATGAATGACCCCCGGAGCGGGGCCAATTTTGACCCCAGGGCTTTTATTATAACAAACTTGGTAGACACTCACTAGAAGATGTTTCAAGCTTAGTATCTAAACTCTAGCTATTTGTTTTTTTCAAAGAAGATTTTTTAAGCTTTTGCTATACACATATAAGAAAAATCAATGACCCCCTGGGCAGGGCCAATTTTGACCCCAGGGCTCTTATTTGAACAAACTTGGTAGACATCCATTAGAACATGTTTCATGCTAAATATCCTAGCTCTAGCTTTTTGGGTTCTTTAAAAGAAGATTTTTTAAGTTTTTACTTATTATATGCAAATAGGGCAAATCAATGACCCCCTGGGGCGGGGCCAATTTTGACCCCAGGGCTTTTATTTGAACAAACTTGGTAGACACCCATTAGAGGATGTTTCATGCTAAATATCTTAGCTCTAGGTCTTTGGGTTCTTTACAAGAATATTTTTTAAGTTTTTACTATATGCATATAGGGAAAATCAATGATCCCCTGGGGCGGGGCCAATTTTGATCCTAGGGCTTTTATTTGAACAAACTTGGTAGACACTCATTGGAGGATGTTTCATGCTAAATATCTTAGCTCTAGGTCTTTAGGTTCTTTACAAGAAGATATTTAAGTTTTTGCTATACACATATAAGAAAAATCAATGACCCCTGGGGCGGGGCCAATTTTGACCCCAGGGCTTTTATTTGAACAAACTTGGTAGACATCCATTAGAACATGTTTCATGCTAAATATCTTAGCTCTAGCTCTTTGTGTTCTTTAAAAGAAGATTTTTTAAGTTTTAAATATATGCATATAGGGAAAATCAATGACCCCCTGGGGCGGGGCCAATTTTGACACCAGGGCTTTTATTTGAACAAACTTGGTAGACACCCATTAGAGGTTGTTTCATGCTAAATATCTTAGCTATAGGTCTTTGGGTTCTTTTAAAGAAGATTTTTTAAGGTTTTACTATATGCAAATAGGGAAAATCAATGACCCCCTGGGACGGGGCCAATTTTGACCCCAGGGCTTTTATTTGAACAAACTTGGTAGACACTCACTAGAAGATGTTTCATGCCAAATATCTAAGCTCGAGCTCTTTGGATTTTTTGGAAGAAGATATTTGAAGTTTTTTCTTTTGGTTGCCATGGCAACCAGAGTTCTGCATGCAATTAAATTCTTTGAACAATTTTCAAAGGTGACCACCAAAGGAACATTCATGTGAAGTTTGGATGAAATTGGCTTAGTGATTTATGAGGAGATGTCATTTAAAGTAAAAGTTTACGGACGACGGATGGACGCCGGCCGGACGCCGAATGAAAAGCGATCACAAAAGCTCACCCTGTCACTTTGTGACAGGTGAGCTAAAAACAACAGTCAAAATCACAAAAAATCACAGATTGAAATTATCTTGACATGACTGCAAATTGGATATTACTTCATCTAAAACAGGAGATGTTTGAAATATATGTATGTCACCCTTGGGGCAGAATATCAATAGTGTTAATAAGAGTTTTTATCTGTCAAGATTTGTGCTTTACAACTTAATACATAATCTGGTAGCAATCTGTGCTCAAATTGTATAAAACTGTATCTTGCTAATATATTGACATGCCCTTTGTAAATTCAAAATAGAGTTTATTTTACATGATGTCAAACAATGACGGTTCAATGTAAATGACAGAGATAGGTTCAAATTAAGAATAGTCATCAAAAAATATGTCAGTTGAGTGTTTTACATAAAATTTCTGGCATTCAGAGTAATTTTGTTTCAACCTATATAAGAAAATTGACATCAAACCTGTACAAGCTACTGAATTTCTTAAATGAGCTTGTCCATCTTCCATGTTTAGAACAATCCATTTTCATTCCTAGGAATGCCAAGGTAAGAATTTGAAGTTTCAGCCAACAATATGCAAGGTTGTGCAGGTTGGTCTCGCTTTATAATGGCGGCAAAAATTTGTTATCACTTTAATGGTAAAAATTAAAACTTACCACATTTGATTTATGATCTATAATTATTAAAAAAAACTTACCACATTTGATTTATGATCCTCGATTATTTAATGAAACTTACCACAATTGATTTATGATCCTCGATTATTTCATGAAACTTACCACATTTGATTTATGATCCTCGATTATTTCATGAAACTTACCACATTTGATTTATGATCCACGATTATTTCATGAAACTTACCACATTTGATTTATGATCCACAATTATTTCACTTTCTAATGTCCAAGTGACAGCATTAAAAACTTTGATTCTTCCGTCATTAAAGCCACACCACAGCCTTGGAGATATCTGCTCGTCTAAAAACAAAAGTTTCACACTTTCAATTCTAAACTTTTTACAGAAACAAGTATACGGTAAACTGATCAAATATAACCAGTATTTAAGTGCATGCATTGAATTACAAATGTCGTTCTATTTAAAGCTGTCATTGATTCAGTGCAAAGCATATTGATGATATAGGATGACAAATATCGGCAATACATCAATATATTGATAAATACCCCTAATTTCTTGTATATAATTCACTTTCATACCTGTTTAAATGATTTCAGTAAAATACATGTCCTGTTCATACAAATATGTTGTGTCCTGTTTAAAAGTGTCTTTTGCATGATTTTTTCTGACCATTTTTTGTCATCACTGCTATGAAATGTGTCCATTATTTAACAACAGCTTACTGTTAAAAATGGCTACCTGATTTTGTGTATGTTCTGGGTGAATTTTCTTAATTTATAGACATTTAAATAATCAAAATTAAAAATTTTAATCAAAATTATCTAATTTTTCAAATGTAAATCGATTATTGATCATCAGAAAAATATCAATGATACATCAACATCGTCCCAATTGAAGACAGCTCAAGTTATATATTTAATTTCATGGCAATTTTCTGTGTCAACTAAGACACAACACGCTATTCCAGCTCTTACCTCCACCTGTATAAAGCAATGAGCTGACGGTCCTACTCTCCCTTTCACCAACGTTCACATCGATCTTCCTCTGCAATGCATTCTGGGTATCTTGTGGCAGAAGGTGTTTACCTTCTTTATATAAATTATAGAAGTAACTCATTTTTTCCGCTGCAGCCTCTGTGTTATTATAATGAGTGGTGCATTCCTCTTGTCCGCTGGGAAAAAAAAATCCGTTAAAATCTTCCAATCGTGAAAAAGGCAAATAATTTTGGTTATCTACTACCCTCAAAGTAAATCTCATTAAGATTTGATCATTGTTTTCGCTCTGTTACTATTCGCTGAGAAGCAAATGGTAGTTGCAACGACAGTTAGGATATGATTTTAATGAGATTGCCCCCAAAGCTATCTTTGACAAAAACTCAAAAAAATCTCCTTTCTTTGAGGAAACACAAGAAAATCTATTTTTAACCTTTAAAACGTCTAAGCTACATTGTATAATTACATAAAATATCTTAAGATACAAGGCAAAGTTTTATAAAGGTAGTTTCAAAATGGTAAATAAGTGCACAATGGTAACACAGATAGAATATATATAGGAGAAATGTGCAGTAATATCGTCACCTTAGTGCATTATAACAGGTTAAATTATATTAAATCATATAAGAAGTTAACCTATTGCTGCACTAAGGTGACAATTATGCATCTATTAAAAGATTTAAGGACCCTAAAAATTATATGAAACAAAATTAATTCAGTTAACAACAACAACTACCACCAATGTATCTTGGGCAAAAACTAAAACAAAATCTCCTTCCTTTCAGGAAACATAAGAAAATCTATTTTTAACCTTTAAAATGTCTATGATACATTGTATAATTACATCAAATATATAAGATACCAGGCAAAATTTTATAAAGGCAATACATGTGAACTCTCCCACTTTTAGCAGGAGACTCCCACTTTCAGCAGCCAAGTTTTCAAAGATTTTTCTTAAATTAAGGGGTATTTTCACAAATAAAAGAAATCTCCCTCTTTTTGATTTCAGAACTTTCTTCTTTCTTCATTGCAAAATTTAAAATTTCCGTCTCTTTGAAGAAAAATCTCCCACTTAATCATCGAAAAAAGTTCACATTTCAAAATGGTCCCTTTTCCTAAATGACGCGTAAATAATTCCTTTATACAGAATAACCCTAGGAGCTTGACCCACTGTAGAGTATTTTTATAACAACAGTGTCAATTCTTCTCAAAGTAAGACTTTTCACCAAAACATTGACCCTCTCTAAAGCACAAACCCTCTTAACAACAACCAAAATCTTTGTCTTCCAAAGAGTGTTGCTCTGTCAGGGTTCTACTGTATAATTCTTACACAGCCCACATGTTTTCTTATTGAATAATTAGAGGAACTGAAAATGTGTGTCATTATGCAATAAAATCACAGTTGACATTTTATATTTAGACATGTGACGTAATCATTATGCATGTGACATAACCACTAAAAATGTGATGCACTGAAAATAAGTACAGAAACAAATTAGGCTCAAATTTGCTTAATATCAGGTACGGCAGCATTTATTTGTTGATGTCGTTTTAGAATCGAAATAATATATATCCAAATTGGTGATTTTATCGATTGATAACATCACTGTTATTCATTCAGATGCGCATCATTATATCACTCTTGCTACACCGTTGTGATATAATTCCTCGCATCCGAACTCCAAACAGTGATGTCATTGAGCGATAAAATCACTGTTTGGGATATATTATTTCTTAAATCAATGTACAATATATAGACAATTCTGAATTGATTTATACAACCTTGCAATTATGGCGTCAATGAGAAGTGTGTTTTGTATAGCATGTTGTACCATCATTACGTCCTTCATCGCCTCTGCCACAACTTTCCCCGCCCACATCTCTCTAATTACCATATACCACCAGTTCCGCTCCTCCTTTAAATAAGCTGTAAACGGACTTGTTCCCTTTCCTACATATAATAATTTAAAATAATTATCTTTGCATACAAAATTAACTCCCATCTATTGATTGGAAATCACATGGCAATACAAAGTACATATTTGATAAAGTTAAAGGCCCATCTAGTCCAAAAAATGCTGTCATTTTTATTTCTGAAGGAAAAAAAACAAACAAAAAAAAAATCAGACAAAAACTAGTTACACTTTTCAAAAATTTACTCATTGGCCGTATACAGTAAATGATAACAAGAAGAGGACATGACTGTTAGTTTGCATCTTTGAGAAAAGTTGTTATTCATTTCTTTATTATTTCATGCACAAAATGGAATCTGTGTAATCGGTCATTTACCTTCTGTAAATAGGCTAAACATGGTTTATTTATATTGAAACATTCTCATTTTATTGCTAATCCATTGGTTAGCCAAATACGTAGAGCATTTGACTGTGAATTGTGTGACTAAGGTTTGATTCATGGACAGGGAATGCTACTTTGACGTAGTGACGGATCATGGTCACTCGCACTGATACAGTATCAGTATCCCATACAGATGTTACAAGTTCCTTAGCAAAGATGAAAGCAACCAGTAATGGTTATCTGCTTGACAGGCCGCAGAGGAGCAATACATTGGCTGATGATCTGTGTTCT